TTTTATTTTTTTTTAAAGACCGTAATACCTTTCATTTTATTGGGCAAAAATCACTCACCTCCCTTTCCCAATAAACTATCACTTTGATATTAATACATTTAAACAATTAAAGGTAAGAAAAAAAAATTAACAATCATCTCTATATCTGATTTTGAATGTATCAGTTTTAGACTTAAAAAATGTTGGTAAAGTTGAAGAAGGATTGATTGCATATGGGAAGTGAAGAGCAGATTTGATTTTTAGTTTGAAAGGAAAGAAAAGAGAAAAGAAAAGTATTTCTGTCTTTTTTCCTTTTTCTAAATTTTGTTTTAAAAAATTTAACTTCTTCAATACAAAATATTTTATTATTTTAGTAATATTATAAGAGATTTAATGATGTGGGAAATAAAAAATCAAGAATACCAAGTGTTATCACATCCTTCATACCACAATTCAATAAATTATTGATAGTTCTAAATATTCTTTCCCCTACTTTATAAATAATAGTCTTCTCGTTTTCTTTTTCTTTTTTTCTTTTTTAAAGAAAAGCCTGAATTTTTATCTTTTTTTTTTATATTTCAAAGCACTAGAATTATATATGATAGAATTAATTTTAAATCAGTGAGTTTTACTTAATAGAATTGCAGTGCTATACTGCTATGTATAATTTAAAAAGAAGAAAAAAAAAAAAAAAAAAAAAAAAAACTTTCAAACTTTAATGATTGATTGACAAAAGTAACAAATTGTTCAGTTAAAGGACAATAGACAGTTACTTAAGGATTTAAATTTATATAAGGGTAAAAATAGAATTGAACAAATTCAAATTATTCTTTTACAAAATAAATATAAAATTAAAAATTATCCAAATTAAAACTGAAAATATAAATTATTATTTTTGAAAAATTAAAGATAAAAATAAAAATTACAAAAACTAAGAAAAATTAAATATTAGTTTATTAAATAAATATAAAAATTAAAATTAAAATTAAAAACATACTTAAATCATTCGTTTTAATAAAATAAATAATAAAAATTTATCAAAATAGAAATAAAAATTTAATGAAAAAATAAGGCTAACAACACCACCGACAACGAGCTAGCCTGGCTAGAGCCTAGTTTAAACGATCGAATCTGGCTAATACTCCGACTTGGAGTGGCTCCAATCTGGCCAGTCTGAGCTAGATCGAGACACGCGACATTGGCAAAGTGCTTAGAGGTGGAACAGCAATGAAGAGGGTTTGAACCCAACCCGGTAGCAACCCCCGGGTGGGTTGGGTTGCAAAATGGCAACCCGCCGACCCGGCGGGTTGTTGTTTTGTCCTTTCTAAGAAAGGACCGCCAACCCGGCAGGTTGGCTGTTGTCAACCTGGCAGGTTGGCTATTACACACCAATGGCCAACCCACCGGGTTGACCCACGGGTTGGCCGAAAAAAAAATAGAAAATTTTATTTATTTTTTTAAATTACCCCTTTACCCTCGAAATATAGCCGTTTTATAGCCGTTGGAGAGGTTTTTTTCATCATTTTCCTTTCCCTTTTTTTTCTATAAATTGGCCCTAAACTCTCACATTTTTCTCACAACTCAAATTCTCTCATTCTCTTATATTCTCTAATCTCTAATCTCTCAATTATTCATTTATTCTCTTAATCTCTTTTTTATCAATTTGCTCGTATTTTAATTTTTATTAGTTTTTGCAATTTTTAATTCATATTTCCAATTTTCCAAATTCCAATTTTCATATTCCAATTCTCTTTCTTTAATTTTATTTCTTCTACATCAATTTTTTTTTTCAACTACAATGGATAAATATTTCTCTCCCATCAATTACAATGATGAAGGAAACTACTATCTTAGTCCTAATCCCGCTGATTTTACTAACATAAATGCAGGAGGAGATTCAAATAGTCCCGCTTTCCCATTCTTAGAATCCAATACACCTCAAAATATGCCCTCGATTCCAACAGCTCCTGGTGGTTCTAGAAGTCATCCTCGTAATCGTCGTCCTCGTCCAACTTCATCTCAAGCTGAGGCGGGTTCATCAACTGCCGTCGAAACCGAAGATAGACACACATCAGACGTTTGGGTGGATTTCAACAAGTTTTATGAGACAGAAAATGGCGTTCAAGTCAAGAAAGCGAGATGCAAATACTGTGAAAATATTTATAAAGCTGATTTAGGTAATGGTACTAATACTTTAAAAAGGCATGCTAATAAACATATTAATCAACATGGAAATAGAGAAAGCTATCAAACTCAAATAACTAATATGGGTACTACTTGGCGTTATAATTCTGATGTATATAATGAACAGTTAAATTTATATATTGCTGTAACTGATCAACCTATTAACATGGCTGAAGATAAATATTTTGAAAGATTTGTTCAAAAATCATTTTTTCCAGGATTTAAAAGTTATTCTAAAACTGCAACTAGAAATGATTTAATAAAATTGTTTAAAAAAATGAAATTAGAATTAAAAAATAAAATACATACTTGTCATGTTAGTGTGGCTCTAACTGCCGATATTTGGAGTGGTAGAGCTAAACAAGATTATATTTATGTGACTAGTCATTATTTTGATAATGAATCTAAATTAAATAAATCTTTATTAGGATTTAGATTAATGGATGTTGATCATAGTGGTCAACAAATTTATAATAAAATTGTTGAAGTTTTAGAAGATTATGATATTGTTAGTAAAGTGATAAGTTTAACTTTAGATAATGCAAGTTCTAATAGTAAAGCTATAGATTATTTTCAAAGTGATTATCATTTATATAACAATTTGAAGTTTTTTCACCAACGTTTTGCATGCCACGTTATTAATTTAATTGTGAAAAGTGGTATGAAATCAATTAAAGAAAATATTGATAGAATTAGAGATTATTTAGCTTGGATTACTGGTAGTAATAAAAGAAATGCTGAATTTCAAGATGCTTGTATAAAATCAAATATGTCTCCTAGAACATTTGCATTAGACATCCCTGTTAGATGGAATATTACTTATTTAATGCTTGATTCATGTTTACCTTATGCTAATTTAATTAGTTATTTTGTAGCAAATAATAGAGGTCCTCATTATTTGGTAGAAAATGATTGGCAAATAGCTAAAGTATTTCATTCTTTTCTTAAAATTTTTTACCAATCCATTTTTCAACTTTCTGGTGTGTATTATCCTACTAGTCCATTGGTAATACATACAATTGTAAAAATTTCAGAGTTATTTACAAAAAACAAAAACAATGAAATTTTAACATAACCAATAAAGGCAATGGAAATTTTTTTAAAAAATATTTTAAACCCATTCCTTTTCTTTATTGTTTAGGTGACATTTTTTATCCTAGAATTAAACAAGAAGGTTTAGAAAATGGTTTAGAGACATTATCTGAAAATTTATAAGACTTAGCATTTGTCAATCAAATAGGAGATGTAAAAAATTGTATTGCAGAGGCATATTTCCAATATGAAAACAGGGATGGGAACCCGCAAAGACATAAAATACAAAGGGAAGTTTCATCAGAAGAAACAAATAAAGACTTCTATACCTGGAGTGCATTTAATAGGCCGAAGAGGAACCGAACCCGAAGCACAGGCACAGCCTCCTCTTCAGAAGCACCAACGGCAACAACGAATCTACTAGCCGCCCTGTAGTCACAGAGTAACGAGCTTAACAATATTTGAGAACTCTTGAAATGTTACCAACAGATCCACAACAAAGAGCCAATTTTGATGTCTTGGAATATTGGAAAACCAGAAAATGTATTTTTCCGGTATTATCAAGACTTGCCTTTGATGTTTTTGCTGTTCCAGTCTCAACCGTCTCATCTGAACAAACATTTAGTGCAAATGAAAGAATTTTAAATGAAAGGAGGACTAAACTTTCATGAAAAATGATTGAAGTCCTCACATGTCTTCGAGATTGGGAACAGTCGCGCCATCAAGGTCAATACAAGGTTGTCGACGATACTTTAATAGAATCATTTCAATTTTATAATATAGATGATATGGATGAGGGAGGTCTTAGTGAACCCCAAAATTAGTTGTTTTGTAAATTGTAACTTGTAAATTAATTGTCAATTATTGCACTGTTTTTTCCTTACCAAGTTTTTGTCCCATTGGGTTTTTTGGTGAGGTTTTTAACGAGTCAATAATTATTGTAATTTCTTTTTTTTAATAAATGAATAAATTTAATTTTTCTTATATTACAATTTTAATGTATTAAAATTGAATTAATATTTGGAATATTAACAAAAAAAAAATAATTTAATTTAATTATTGATATTTGAAAAGAAGTTAACTAAAACAATTACATTTATTCATTTATAAATTGTTAATTATTCATTTGAAAAGTTAATTAAACATTTAAACTTAAACAAAACAAAACAAAACAAAATTAAAAAAAAATCAAAAAGGGGGTTAACTCGGCCAGACCCGCGGCCTAACCCGGCAGGTTAGGGTTGACAGTCTGGGTTGAGCCAGCCAATTCCCCAACATTGGTGAGCCTAACCTAGCCTGCCAATGGTCGATCACTTTGCGCAACCTGCCGCGGGCTGGGCGGGTTGCTTTTCCACCTCTAGAAGTGCTAGTGTCGTTGGTTGTTTGCTTTATGTGTTTTTCTTTATTTAATTTAGTTTTCTTTTTGTTTTTAAGTTTTTATTATTTTTTCGATCTTCTTAAAAAAATAGTTTGGTTTTTTTAGTTTTCTTTAAATTTTTCAATTTTACATTTCAAGAATTAAATTCACTTAAAAAAAGTCCTTATTAATTATATTTCCATTTTCTATTAAAATCAGTAACAAATAACTGTTAAATATTTTTTAACTTGACGAGTTACAACTTTTGTTAGTGTCCTCCTATTCTTCAATTATTATTAGGGGAAAGAATACACCCAATGTAATATGAGATATTATTTAAAATAAATAAATGAAATAAAACCGTTCCTCAACGTCACTCTGAGTCACAGACCATCGGATCAAATCTTTCTTTCTACTTTATGAATTGACATAATTTCCGTTCTACAATTAATTTATGGTCCAACCTTGTCTTTAAATAATAAAAAAATCAAAACACAAACACACCAACTTTCTTCTCTCCAACCAAGAATATCAAAGCATCGGCATCCCAATGGCATCTCTGCGATCATTTCACAAACAATAAAGAACAACAAATAATATATGCAAAAAGCGTATCTCCCCTCAGAAGATTAAACTAAATTACAAAAAAAAAAAAAAAAAAAAAAAATTAACAAAGAAATGAAGATTAAAAGAGAAATAACTAACTAAATTTCTTGGTTCCTCCGTCAAAAACTAATTAATGATACAATTCTAAGCGCCGGGCACATAAAGTACATAAGTATTTTCTCTTGATTTTGTAGCAGATGGGCAAGAAACAGAATCTGCACTGACTTTCAACATCCATGGCGACAACTTCGCCGGCACAGTAAGGGCACGATCCAGGAGCTTGATGTCTGCCCAGCTCTTTTTCTTCAACATCACATAGAAACACGAAACACATTTTCGTCTTCTTTGATCTATGCGTTGGAGGGGTTGTGATGGAGATTTGGGATTTAATTTTGAGGTTGGAACTCGGGAATTGAAGGCTGTCGAAAAGATGAGTGTGAAGACAGCATTTATAGAGAGAGAGAGAGAGAGAGGACACAGTTTGGTGAGAGAGAATATCCAGTATCTACTTTCACCTTGTAAAAAGGCATTTGTTACTTTGCTACTTTTTTACGTTAGTCAGTTTTAGTCGTTATATTTGGTGTTTTTTTTTTTTTTTTTTTTTTTAATGACCAATCCTCTCATAATTATAAAATTATCGATCGGGTAAGAGCTTCAATAGCTATCTCTATTAGTAATGGAAGAGGAACTCGAACTCAGGACCTTTTGAATAATACACCCAAGAGTTTCTATCGAACAATTCGATCATCTTGTTGGAGTCTCACACCGATTAAGCACGCTCAAGCCTATTGATTTATAAAAGAAGGTAATCCTCCCATTCAACAAGGCCTTATTGGGTGAGAAGTCAGGCCCACCTCAAATTTTATCATGGTATCAGAACCATGTTCAGTTGAGCTGAGTGCTTGACCAGCGGATGAAAAGTTTGAGCTGACAACTACATCCAATAACAGGCATGACCCAACATATGGGCTTGACCGTGAGGGAGAGTGTTGGAGTCCCACACCGACTAGACATACTCAAGTCTACTGGTTTATAAGAGGAGATAATCTTCCCATTCAATAAGACCTTATTGGGTGAGCAGTCAGACCTACCTCAAATTCTATCACATCCAGAGATAGTTAAAGATTTTTTGTCTCTCTCTCATGTTTTAATCACATAAGGATTTATAACAATAATCCCAAAGTATAATCAAATAAAAGAAATCTCCTTATGGTTATAATAATAATAAAAATTTATTTTCGAGTTTTTAATTAAGACTGACTTACAAATTGCAATTATCTTATAAGAAATATGAGTTCTTATATATTTGACATACAATGATAAAAAAAAATTAAATCAATATTATATATATATATAGTTAGTTAGTTAGTTAGTTAGTTAGTTAGTTAATGAACTTTTAATTACTAAAAAAATATTGTATTAGTTTTATTGAAAAATTTAACCAATGTAGAATATGAAGCTATTCTAAACCAAAAATTAATAAATCTTAATTTAACATTATATTCCCTAATATTAAACTCATCTTAGGCTGATTATTTTTCACATTTGGCTCCACCCTTGTATATAATTTAAAAAAGTTTTAAACTTTAGTGAATTTGCGTAATAGCGTGGTAAAATTAATTAATATAATGTGATTTGAAGTAACGTTTGCCCCAAAAAAAAAGGGTAAGATTCCTGATTACTACTATTAAATTTGTCTTTTGGTGGTGATAACCTCAACCCCTCAAGAATAATACTTCACTGAGGAAGGGCTATTTGAGACTGACCTAAAATGTATATAACTAATCTTCGAATAAATATATTGAGATAAGAATATATATTACATAATGGAAATATGTTTACAGTAGAACGTGATCTTAAAGTAACGTTGAGCTAAGAAAGCTTAATTTTTTTTTAAAATCATATTCATATCAATACATTTTAAAATATATAAAGTCTGATAAATATAATTAACCGCACCCAATCGTATATGAATGTTTCCTGTTTGAGAGGTTTAATCCATTCACAAACACACTAATTGCATTGCAATTTGCAAGACGGAGGAAATTTATTAAAACTATATTATTATCTTTCCTGTTTTTATAAATTTTATTGATAATAATTATATGAAAATAAATATTTAATATAAGTAAATTATAAAATGATTTTATTGAAGGAATTAAAGATAGAATTTGACATAAGTAGTATGATAGGTCAATATCACTCTCTTTTACCTCCCCTAGTTAAAATCAGATTGTCACAATCATAGCTTGCGGCCAATGAGACAATTGATGTACGGTTCTGGTGGGTTTGTTGATGACGATAGACGGTCTACGTTCAATTGGATGTGTTCAGTTAAACTTTTAACCCATGGCGGGTGAGAACTTTGAGCGTACGCCCCAGGTTTTCCAAGAAGCTTCTGTCTAACATACGCGTGTGAACTGACAATGCGCACATGTTCGAACCGTCGTTTAGAAGCAACGTAATCACGTACATGGATTTTGATGAGTGTGACGTGATTTTCGTTTGTCTTTTGTATTTAATTTCTTTTTCAAAAGAATCTTTGGCTCCATTTGGTTTAAAATTTTGGGTTTTTGGAAACAATTTTTTGAAAAAAGTTAAAAAAAAGTTAAATTGGACGGGTATTATAATATAAGAACTATAAATTATAAAATACCCTTTATATTTATTTATTTACAAAAATACCCTTATAATAAAACATTAAAAGTTAACAAAAATATCCCTAACCAACCCTCAAATACGGACAGTCGGCCACCACCGCCAGAGGGTGGCCAGAGTCGCCGTATCGGTGCATGACCGACTAGATCTTGCCGGTCGTGCGTCGATATGGCCTTTTCCGGCCAGATCCACGGTGAATCTGGTCGGCAAAGGCCAGATCTGGCCGTATTTGCTTGTCAACGACGGCCAACAAACGGTCGTCGTTGACCATTAACGACAGCCAACAAACGATCGTCGTTATTGGCCGTCGTTACCGACTGTTACGGCCAAAGATCTGGCCGTCTTTAGCCTTAGATCTGGCCTTTTCCAGTCAGATCCACCGTGGATCTAGCTGAAAAAGGCTAGATCGGCTCACTATCGGCCAGATTCAGCCAGTAGTGTGCCATCTTAACAGATTCCGGCCATTTTCCGGCAGTGGTGGTCGGAATCTGGTAAATGTGGATTACTAGGGTATTTTTGTAATTTTTAAAAAAATATTTAGGGGTATTTAATTAAACTATCAAATTTAAGGGGTTTAAAAAAAGTTGAATAATATTGGGAGTAGTATTTCAAAAAATCAGAGTTTTTGGGTATTTTACTGTTTAACTTTTTTGGGAATACTAAAAGTAGTATTCCCAAAACTGAAACAAACGAAGCCTTTGTATTTAACTTTTGTTGGGAGCTCTTTAAATCATTCTTAATCCTAAAACAAAATGTATGCTCCTAACAATTTTTTTTTTTATTTTGTTTCAAAGAGAAAAAAATAAAATTTGCCATCTCTATCTTTAACGTTTACTCAACTTAAGGACATTATTGTAATTTTAAATGAGTAGTAAAATGAACCTTACTTTGACCTGATGTTAGTAGTTATCTGTTGTTTGACGTACAACCCTTAAAATACCCTTCAAAAGAAAAGAAAGTGGAATTTTGTTTTAAGGAGTTCCATAAAAAAACAATCTTCAACATCCCCAACGCAAATCATAAACCCTAACTAACACTATATTGAGCATTAACTCATGCCATCAAGTCATCAACCTCACCTAGCCTCGAAGTCCCAAATCGTTCCCCCTTTTACGTGAGTTGAAACTTACTTGATAATAGATTTCGGTACTTTAAGACCATTATAGTTATAATTGCCATTCACTGGAGCTTCAGTCGTTGACTCTGTTGTCGTTAAGTTATCAACTTCTTTGACCTTAACAATCTAGAGATTAATTGAAACCAAACAAATAACAATCACACACAAATAATGCAAACAGTAAAAAAAAAGCACACAGACAATTTACCCTGATTCACCCAAAAAATGAGTTACGTCTAACAGAGTTAATGTTATTGAAATATCTCTTCACCTCTCTTGCTACAATAAATGTATTTGCTTATGATTTGCTATATCACTCATACAAGAGAGATATAGGTTTATATAATAGGATCCATTTTCCTAAGCTCAAATCCTATTAGAAGTTTAATTACTAAGAGAAATCTTACTGTGACTCTTCATTGAGTAGAGCCCCCGAATGCGTCTGTCTCGCCTCTTATTGTTGAAGTGGTCAACAACTACTCCAACACGTTCAACACTGCATAGATGTTAGTGAGCGGCAAGGGACAAAAAGGTAAAATTACATCTGAAGGGTACCACAAAACCAAATTGGTCCTTCAAATAGTAAAGTCTTGAGAATGTAAGAGGAGCATAAGGTCCTAGACCAGGAGTTCATGTACCATGACTTCGGCTAAGTATGCCTTTAGATCTTCATTACATTAAAACGGATCCCAAAGTGGGAATGCGTCAAGCTAGGAGATTAAGTCCTAACCTAGGTTTTTGGCAGCAAAACCCTGATTTTAAGTCCAACGAAAGAAGAAAACCACTCTTCTATGTCAAAGATGTTGTTGATATATGTCAAAGATGATGAAAATCAGTATAATGTTCATAAAGTTGAATTTAAGCTAAAATTCAAAGGTAGTTTTAAAAATTTCTCTACAAGGAGGAGGGTGGGGACCATTATTTTCTAGACGTGAACATAATTTCCAGTCATTTTTCAAAAATCTTGCGGTTCAACTGGTGTATTATTTTATAATATATGAGCCAGCAAAACAGAAGTCTTTTGGTTTTTAAACAAGTTCAGTTTTAGAAAAGTTTTAAACCGTGAAAAACATGTTAATGGGGAGTTTTGACTTCAAACAAAGTGACTATAGGAGTAGGAGGTAGGAGGTAGTTAGTATCTAGCTTTATTGACAAAAATTGCATGAGTTGTGCGGCTGGGACCTAACTTTTCATGGAGGTAAAAATGCAAAAATTATGAATAATATCATAAGAAAAATAGCATCTGACAAAGGTTTTCGGAATAAAATAGGGTAATGAAAGTGGTTACAGGATTTGCTAAAGATTAGGGGTAAAAAAAAAAAAGAAGGTTTTCAACCATGAAATCCAACGGTTTGGTATGAATTTTTAGCCAAAAAAATCTGTTTGATGTTTATTAAGAACGGTATGGTTTTTGGTTCTAGGTTTATTTAAACCGAATCGTTTACTTTTTGTCTTTTAATGTTTTTAAAATACCCCCAAATTACCCAAAAAATCATAGAAAATATCAAAAACCCCCTTAGAAAATAAAAAAGACCCAATTAAAAACCCATAAAACTGAACCATATCAAACCAATTTTTTCGGTTTGGTTTTTAAACTAACACAGTATGGATTATTTTTAGATATTTTCCTTTTATGGTGTAGTTCGGTCCAGCCAAAAACTAAGGTTGTGTTTGTTTCCCTACTTAAAATACTATCATATCCAGTCCTATT